ATCAGTGTGTCTATGCAAGATTATTTTATTTTCGAAATCAATTGATGTTGAAAGATACATCTATATGGGACAAGAAAGTTCAAGTTGAAGTCATTGATAATTTTAGATTATTACTGAGTACTGGTTACTAATTGAATTTGGATGAGACATTTTATTTATGGTACCATATTTAGTCGAAATTTAATTTTGATCTCTATTTTGAAAAAATTCGGTTATTATTGTTCATTCAGATATAGAGTTTTGTCTCTTCCAGAATTTAAAATTGGTTGGAATTAGTACATCATTCTATAATAATAATAATTATTTACTTAATAGTCTGACTTTATATAATAAATTAGCTATTGAACATATTCCTATAGCTTCCATGATTGCAGATCCGCTTAATTACTAAAGGGTTTCCACTTAAGTTCTATAGCGAGCATGCTGCTTGTTTGAGAGTGGAAATATATTTTCATATTTCGGTTTAGTGGGAGCTAATTAGTAATGTTTACTTTGGTTTACATTGCACAATTTAGTATTCAATGTTCAATATTCAATATTCAGTGTGCAGTATTCAGTTTTAATTCAGTATTAGTGGATCAGTTGGAAATAGGCATGTTAAGATCACATTACATGAAATTTTCATGTTGTGCATTCGCACTTGATCGAATCTTAGGTTAGATTAATGTTGTGACCACTAATCGGTCTCATTGTGATAAATGCAATGACTGCCGCTTTGATCCGCACTGATGTGACTTATAGATAAGATTGGTAATATACATTAAAGAAACTGATAGCAAAATTTTATGAGCACATAAGGTTATTCAGTGTACATTTACCCAAGTGGGAGATTGTTGGATTAAAAATCTAATAGTGGGTTAAATGTAAACTATTTGGACTATCAGTCGGATTAAGCCTATATTAAGTGATTTATTAATTTATTAGGCTTAGATATATTTAGTAAGTGCGAGCCTCCTATGTGCAAAAACCCGGTAACTTATTAATTGGGTGATAAGACCAATTAATAATAAGAGATATAAATAGAGTTGTGATCTCAAGTCTAGACGCAACATCCATTACTTCTCCTATCTCATCGTGAAAGTAACGGCAGAAACCCTAACGGTTCTCAGGAGGGTTGCACCATAGGCTTGAAAAATACAAAACCCTTCATTATTTGTATATCTGAATCCGACTATGCCAAGAAATAAAGTTAAATCTAATTTGCTTTATTTTTATCTCAATTATTATAATATGAAATATTCTGGGTTTAGAGTTAAATTTCTCGTAAGTTCTAACATGTAGGGTATATTCTTTGGGAGTTTTATTTTATCTTTTAAAAATATAACTTGGATATATTATTGTATGGAAAAAAAGAATAAAAAAAAAAAGAAGAAAAAATCACAACGATTGCATTAACAAAATAGTAAAATCAAACTTCCAAATAATAGAGCTATATATATATATATGTATATATACATATAGGTAGGTAATCTTTATTGAATGTCACTTTAATTATTCTATTCGAGATATGTATCCCAGCTTTAGTTACGTTTCTGATGCCAATTGCTTCCGGATAACATACACACATACACACACGTGTATGTGCGTGTGTTTGAAATAAAATATAAATATTGTGCATGTCACTATGCATGTTTTTTGTTCAATATTTTTTTTAAAAAAAAAAAAATTAATAATAATAATCCCACAGATATTTATATATCATTGTCAATTTTATTAAAAATGAGATGTAATAATATTTTAGTTTTGTGATATACTATTTATGGTTTTGATGTTGTAAATTCCCATAGGTTGTGTTTGGTTTAAATTTTTTATCTCCTTAAAAAAAAAAAAAAAAAAAAAAAAAAAAAAAAAAACTATATACAATTTCAATTTTAATAATAATAATATTAATAATAAAATTGTCTAATTTAAAAGTATACTTTTACTTTTGATGCAAAATTTAAAAAATAATACTAGTATTTTAATTAATGTGGGTAGTTAGTATAACGACAATTTTGGCCTTACTTTTTCTGTAAAAATAATGATGTAATAGTAAAATATGAGTATTTGTGGAAAAAAAAAAGTAAAGTATTATTGAAAAATTTACTTTGTAAGCGGTACTATATTATTTTTTTTTAATAAAATATCATATTATATAGGTATTACGTAAATAATAATAATAAATCAAATCACTATTACACAAGTTGAAACAAAACAAAACGATAGTATATGAATTATATGATCAAAACTATCGATTATGCTAATATATATTACCAAAATATAATTATTTAAAAATCTTAAAACAAGACTGCTAATAAAGCACATATGCAACAAATAATTGCTACTTCCTATTATTTATTGGAATTCTATGATGGCTACAACTTAAAAATTAGAATGTCACACACACACACACACATATATATATATATATTATTTTATTTTTATTTTATTTAATGACAGCTTTTATTGGCCAATTGGAAAGATACATTTCAAAGTAGCATCCGATGCATTTATATTTCTCATTTTTTGAATATGTTGCTTTCGCCTTATTCTACTACTACTACCAATAATAATAATAATAATAATAAATAATATTTGAAATATTATTATTTATTATTATTACTCCCTCCGTCCCACATACTATGTCCACGTTGCCGTTTTTGTCCGTCCCACGTACCATGTCACTTTCTTTTTTTGGAAAATGATTACACACTTTAATCTCATTTTAAATTTTAAATTTTATTTTTTTTAATTTTAATTAAACTAATTAGTTATCTTAATCTTAATTTATAATTATTTATATTATAGGATAATTATTTTCACTAATACATTTTTAATTATCTACTGATTACATCTCTCCTAAAATACTATATCTACAGTGTAGCAGACACTGTATCGGGGACGGAGGCAGTATTATTATTGTTTTTATTGTTGTTATTATTACTATTATTATTACAAACTACGGTAATGCTACGATCTTTGTAATAATATAGAGTCACAAAATTGTTACAAATTTCCTTGTTATATATTAGCTCACAAAAATTATTTTTTTACCATTTTAAACCAAAATCAACACTATTCACTTGACACAGTTTTTAAATTAAATCAAAAAATTAATATTTCATTTTAAATCAATTTCAAAACTACAAAATAGCACAACCATCATGTATATTATCTTACAACTTATTGACACAAAAATATTACTACTATTTCAGAAAAAGACACCAACAAAACTCCGCGGAGATTGTTCTATAAATTTTGCTATTAGAAAACAGGGTGTGTTCTTTAAAAAAAAAAAAAAATACATACAATTTTTCTCAAAAATATTAATATATTATACATATTTATTATTTTTATATTTTCTACATAATTCTTTATATTTTACATCAAAAAATACACATTCAAATTTTATTACAAAACAAACACACCATAACATATAATGACATTGTAACATGTTTTTACTCCTGACTTTACACCTATTAACCAGAAAATTTTAGTTATTATTATTATTATTATTATTTTTTTTTTTTTTGATCCGATTATTATTTTATTTTATTTAACATAAGGTTAATGGTTTTGGAGCAATTGTATACCATATTGATACTCACTGCTAATTAATTTGAATGTTAGAATTACATGACATTCATGTAACAATTATTTGAATCGAAGAAGTCCCAAAGAATTAAAAATTATTAAAATCATATATATATTCTATAATTTAAAAAATTAAATATATATACACATAAAAAAATATATATATATATTACATATGTAGGAAACAAAAATTACAAATTGGCATTGATTATATATATTCTTGAGATAATCTAAAAAGTTGTCATTCATTTCTTTCACTTTATGGAAGATTTTGGGTGCTTTTAAAAGCAGAAGATGAAGCTTAAATATTCGGTTACCTAAAGAAGTTGCAGCAATAATTATATATATATCTTTTTTATTTAATTTCAGGAATATAATATTTTGTGTGATGATAATATCTCTCCATTCAAGGTTTGAGATAATTATATCACTTTGTTATTTTAACATAGAAATAGATTAGACAATAATAATAATAATAATAATAATAATAATAATAATAATAATAATAATAATAATAATAATAAAGTAAAATATTATGAAAAATTAGTTTATTGGAATAATTAGAAAAACTAGTAACAAATTAAATACTTCTGCCGTCCACGAAATTTATATTTTTTGAGATAAACATGAATTGTAACGAATATAATGTTATATTAGTTAATAGAGAACGAAGTAACTAGAAAGCCGTGGGTATTTGAACCCGAGTATCCAGGTCCAAGATCCACATCTATGAATTGAAAGGTCCGAATGATCAACCCTGATCAACTCGATCAGGCACTCGCCATCTAAGAATTGCTCAGATACCAGTAAGTGAGGCTTATTTGGGTCGATAGATCTCTTGCTGGAAGTAACCCTGATCCCCATTTTGAAACAATTCATTTTACCCGGATGAATTGATAAAATGAGTGAAAATTATTGATAAACTGAATGTATAAATAGTGTGATATATTTGTAAATAAATATAATATTAAATAATATAAATGAAAGAGTGTAGAATTATTTACAATAAATGAAAAATATATATTTTGGACAAAAAAATATATTAATAGATTATGAAAGTAGGGTTAATATAATTATAAGGATAAAATTATTTATTAAAAATAAATTATGTATAAAATTTAAAAATAGTAAAAATAATATAAAAGCATAATTATTTGGATGTGAGGGAGTAAATAATTGGGTCTGTAATTTATTAAACCCATTCTTTGAAGAGTATTTTTACATTAGCAGGCTTCGGTACTCCTCGACCAAAATGGGTTTAGTGGATGCTGGGTGCGCGCCCAATGAACACACACCCCATCCTGCGAACACGTGTCTTGTTTATTATTATTATTTTATTTATTAAAAATAAAATTTCCTTCGATTAATTACTTTTTTTCTCTTTTTCTATGTTTCAATTCCTTTTTTTTTTTTTTTTTTTTCTGCGACATCTTCGGCATCGTCGTCTCTCTCACAGAACTTAGTATAGTTCTGTGTCGTCTGCCGTCTCCTCCTCTTCTTCCTCCTTGTTGGTCACCATACTCTTGGGTACTCTTGTTGGTTATTGATTTTTCGATTAAGTCACACCATATGCATAGCTTTTGTTTCTGTATCGGTAATGATCTTCTTAATACTTTTTAATATTTGTTCAATAATTTGATGTATGTTTGTTGTTGAGTGTTCCTGCGAAAAGAAGTTTTTCAATTTTCGGATAATACAAAAGGATTTTGTTCCGACAGGTGATTTTGTGTATTTTTAGTTTTTGTCCGATCGAGTTCTGAACTTCTTTTGCACCTATTATGTGTTTCGTTATGTCTGTCTTGCACTTACGCCGGTGCTTCTATTTTTCGATCCAATTATTATGTTTATTCTTACTTCAATGTCTTAATTTTTGGATCCATTGATTGAATTTGCTTTCTAAGGCTTCTTTATTGGTAGATTTATTATTCTTTTCTCTCGATGTTCTATTGCTTTTATTGCGTTATCATCTTCCAAGTTGGTTTGATTTTGGGGAGTTTATGCTCTTGTTCCTTTAGGAATGGAACGATCAACGATGTCTCTGCCGACTATTAGGAATATTCAAAGATATGTTGAGTTGTTTTCATCATTATGGCGTGAGTGAAAACACCTTCCAAGAATGTAATTTTTTATTTTCTTTTTATAGCATTGTGCAATTCGACCATGACTATTTTAATTTATTTTTTTATTTTGGTTTTTCGTTAAAATTTAAGCTGATTGTGATCATTGGTGTTTGGGAATAAAAATGGCAAGTAGTTTGAAGTTCCTCTTGCATCAACTCTTGATTATGTGTTTGTTGTTTATAGTGCGAAGTTCCCAAGTTCGTGCAGAAAATAGTAACGGAATTAAAATCAAGATGTTTCTATCACCAAAAATTGAATTGGAACCAGGATTGGTCTCAAACAAATACTACTATAGTATGAATTTCCCAAGAAGTTATATTGTCGTCAAGAGTTTTGATACTGAAGTAGTTGATGACATAAGGAATCCAATTCCTCTTCATGAAACTTATCTTCACTACTGGGTTGTCATAAAATATTATCTTCGGAAAGCTATCGATATTCCTAAGAGTCATGAGGATTTTGAATTCTACCAAGTAGATACGTCAAAGGAAAAAATATTGGGATGTATGATAATGCACTTAAGCAGTTTTTCTTATTAGTTATTAATAAAGAACACATCACCATATTATTATCATTTTTACGTGGAACAATTAATCAAACAAGTTCATCTTTCCTTCCAATATTTTGAATGTATTGTTAACACTATTTGGAATATTGTATGTTATATTATATAAGATGTCTTATATATATATATATATATAGTTTGTGTATATTATATTTACTTTATGATTCTGCTATCATATTTTTCAACAGGTGTACCAGATGATGACACTAAGGGAATGGACTTTTTTTCTTTGAAGAATTCAAGCAGAACCAACTTATTTTACTTGGACACTATATATATTTTGTATCTTTCGTTTTAAATTTTTATGGAAAGAACATTGGTTGTCGTTGTTATGTTATAAGAACTTGATGATGAATTATGATATTACAAATTTTATGTAATGTCCATTTGGTAGTTCAATGGTTATTATTGGTTGTTTGGTACTTTAACTACATAGAGGTACCTTGTCTGCCATTATATATATTTGGAGGATTTTGCGTTTGGGAATATTTTTTGAGATTGATTTAGGCAGCAGTGTACAAGTTCATTGTCCAGATTTCACCGACGACTCCTGCTCCCTGTGGTGTTTTGGTGATTGGTTTTTGGCCATGCTGTGATTGCTTATGTTGCAATAGGCCTGGATTTGGAGATATTGTTGGATCATGTTTTTTTTGCTGCTCGAAATGCTCTACCAGTTCGCATCGAAGTTTGATTTATGGCGGTCATGTGCTTGATTTTGTTTGCAAGCATATGTTTGGTTTGGACTGTTTTAGATTGGCCATGTGCATAATTTATATTGTTTTCAACATTTTTGCAAGCATATGTTTGGTTATGACTGTTTTAGATTGGCCATGTGCATAATTTATATTATTTTCATCATTATGGAATGTTTGGCATTTTCTTAGTAAAACGCTCTTCCCGTATTAAATGAAATAGACTTTCAAATATGATTAAGGCGAACATTCTCAATGATGCACTATGTTTATGTTATTCTTTTCAAATTGTAAACTCAAAATTTTCTCAAATTTTTGTTATTTGGAAATAATGTTTACACTGTTTTTGCATAGTGATGCTTTACAGTTTATGATATGACTATAGTTTGAGATGTAGCATCAGCAATTGTATTATAATAGATATTTGAATCATTTTTTGATATAAGTGAAGTTATAAATTTAGATTATTCTAAAGTTCTATTTGTTTTTTTATATGCAACATGCTGCAAGGATCTCTAGTGCTAGGAAAAGAGTAACAATGCTAAATACAACTCCAAAATTAAATATACAATTAACTAAGATCAGATCATATATATATATATATTAAGCCACAATATTTTAGACATCATTTATACTAAACACAAATCATTTCCATAATTCATAATCCAAACATTCTCTTTTCTGGCCAACACTTTCTCAAAAATATGTATAAATATATACAATGCCAATAATAATAATAATAATAATAATAATAATAATAATAATAATAATAATAATAAGACCAAACTGATGCAGCGTTCAACAGCTTATGCAATGTTAGTCCTGCCTCTATTGCCATATCCATGTCTATCCGCTGCAGCCAAGGTTGGGGAATTATTTATGCCATTTCCACCATGGCAACGATACCACCAACTTTCTAAAATCCGATAACATCAGCTTTTCCTGCGGGCATTGCTTGTACTTTAATATCTCAAATTCTAACCTTTATACATACAAACAATTGACTGAGGACAAGTACCAAAAAATCAAAAACACACGCGAAGATTAAACAGGAGACAACACCTACATGAGTGATAATGTAATTACTAATGAAGGTAAATTAATTAGTAAAGAAAGTCTCAATAACAGAAGGACATACAAAACAACTCCTAAAAAAAATCATTGCAGTACCCATAATGAAATGAATCTTTCAAAGTTATTTATACCAAAATATTTTACCTCTGTTGAAGCTACTAGTGTAAGGAATTCACCAAGATCCATGCCTGAAAAGACTTTGGCAATAGTAATATTGGCTTTTCCCTGTGTCAATGTTTTCATCTTGTCAAATACAATATGCTTGATATATGATGTTTTTTTCAATACATTACCTTTCATAATAAGCATGCCATTGCTAGCCTCAACCTTAGTTGCAATCATGACAACGGTTAGGGTGGCTAATCCAAGAGCACACGGGCATGCATTACAATATTTGATGTTGCAAGCATAAAGAAAAATACAAAATAATTGTCATTCATTGACAGCCACATCAATGGGTAACCTCCAAAAATTTTAGTTAGGTACCTGCAAAATAGTAATAAAAAAAAATTAGTAAAAAATGTAAAAGTTACTAAAACTGCTAGTTGTATGTCTTACATAATCAATTTTACAAATGATATATAATAACATCAACACTTTTGAGGTAACAATATTAAGCATTCCATCTCATTAATGTCAGAAGTCCTAAAGGGCTTATCACAGGGGCAAAAAGGCTTGCAACCTAAGATTGAGAACATATCAAATAAAACTATTTCTAAGATTTGATGCAACACTCAAATCCCAAGCAATAATAACAAACAAAAGACCACTTACATAGCAACAAACTTTTGAATAAGTGCATTAGACATTTGTGTCATCTTAACCAGAGAAATTATTCGGCTTACTTGATGTGATTTGACAAAAAGTTTGTACTTCAGACAAAATAGCTCAACCTGAAAAAAAAAAAAAAAAAAAAAAAAAAGAGAAATAAAGAAATTAAAACAGACCGTAGATGCAAAGAAACATAAAAAAATGCTTCAAATCAAGATAACTCGATAAAAGTTCAATAAAACTGTAACACACAGGAAAACTATGATAAGCCAAAATACATACCTAACATTATTAACCAAATTTTCTAAAATAATACCAATGATTATTTTCAGGATCAAGTTCAACTATTGAAACATCAGAATTTCTTTGGAACAAATTTGTATTGCAAAACGGCAAATTTTGACTATTTTTTGCTCCTTTAACCACCCTTCCTGCAATAATAAAAATAACATAAAAATTAATATGATAAATCAAAATATTGAATACATATTTGAGTAATACATTTTCCTTTCTTACTTTTATCATCCTAGTGTCGTTTGTGGATGTTGACAGTTGATCCTCATCCTCTTAAAATTGGTGGATCGCGTACAAGAATTCTAGTTTGACTACTGGCTATATTGTCTAAAAAGTTTGCATCACTCAAATTCATATCTCTAAACCAAACTTGTAAATTTTCTTCAATGTCTTTCATACCATCAATCATAATTAATCTGGCCTCAACATGAGCTTTGCTTTGCATGGCAAGATCATATACCTTCTTTGTTGTAAGATTTAAAAATGCCAATTTAGAAAGTGGACCACTACCATTATTTCTACTTGAGTCACCAAGTGGTTTCACAAATATTTGAGCTTTTGCATTCTTGGTCCAACGCTTCAAAATATATTTATCAGGTATGCTTGTTTGACAAGTATAAGCATATACACTCAAAATATGTTTACATAACATACAAGTTGTTTCAAACTTGTGACATGTGCATTGAACTTCAGCTGTTTGGCTATCAAGCCGAACAATTTGACCATTTGTGTCACCACTAAAAGGTTTCACTTTAAAAATCCTCAAGCAAGAACTTGAATGTCGAGGTTCTTCAATGCATCCAACCGACAATTGTCCTCGCATCTCGCTGTCAAACATTTTGAAACTTTGATGTGTATACACCATAGCAGCTTGTTTCAACAATGGATTATGTGGACTGAAAAGAGGAGGCTTCTTATGACGAGATTCAATATCATTTGTCTTCTCTTTTTATCTCCAATGCTTCAAAATTATTTCATAGCTCTGAACACAATGCAGTAAGGTGGATGTGCTATTTCCAATCTCAATTTTCAATGCTGTGTTAGTGCCTTCGCTTCTAGATGTTGTCATGAGTCCAGCAGAAAATATATCAAGACTAAAAGCCGTAGATCATTTTTGCCTTATTTTATACATAATAGAAAATCAATCCTTCTTTCCAACCCCATAATCATCCACAAGTAATTTCTCCAGGAAAAAGTTTATGCTCTATTTCTTCGATTGAAAAACATTCTGCTTCTATATTCTTTATAATATCAGCATCCTCATTATCTAAATTCAACTCAGCATCAACTTCACTTGTAATATTTAAGTGCATATCCATTTATAAAAATAAAAGTGCAAGCAATGCAGTAACCTCTAATTAATTCCAGTCGAGAAGCATATATGATCAAATATGTCCGAAAGCTTCCTTAAGCACTGAAAAAATTAGTAAAGTGATTAGAATTCTTTGAATGTAATTTTCTGCATTAGCTTGAAAACCATAAAGAAAATTTCAAGAACAAAAAAAGAGAAAAAGAAAAAAAACAACCTTAAGAAGAAGAGGACAATATAATCGATTTTTATTCAACTTCAATCCGTAGAAACTAATTTCTTCTTTGATAAATTCTTGCGTTTGTTTTTATCAATAGAAAAGAACACAGATCCACTACAACCAAGAGCAAATCAAGAACGATAACTTGAATGACGAACTGGGTGGGTGAGATTGGAGCGAAAAATGAAGAAAATAAATTGGGCACAGACATAAACAAGAAGAAGAAGGATTTGAGAAATATATATTAACATTAAATACAATTTTTATTAATATAAAAAAATATAAAATATATATACATATTAAAATTTATATATGAACCGAACAATAGACCGGTTTAACTCATATACTGTAATTAAATATATTATTACATATATGTAATATATATTAACAGATGTCATCATCAAGGTGTGCGGGTCCATTAAACCACCAAAATGGGCACAAGCCCATCCATCAAATGCAATTATTTTTATGTGAAGTTTGATTGATATTTTAATATATTTTTTAAAAAAACTTAATACTCCTACTTGATAAATAATGATTTTATTATATTTTAGAAGTTTTAATATTATTAATTAACAATATTTTTTTACATATTATCTTATTTAATTATATTTTTAAAAAATTAATATTTAACGTGATGTTTTTGTGAAATAGTATAATTATTTGATAAGATATTTTTTTAAAAAATTATTATTATAAATAGTTAGAAGTGAGTATTAGTTGGTTCAAATTGAAAAAAAAAAAAAGAAATTGTCCCTAAAATCGAAGAAAGACCAAAGAAAGTTCGAGAGAAGATCCGAGTTGTTCGTTTTCCAGAGAAACCAGATGTTGCACTGCCGGAAACCGGTGTTGTCCACTACTTGGGAGCTGCTGACTGCCAACCATTGCGTTGGAAAATCTAGCCGATGTTGTCGTGCCGCTGCGGGACTGCATCCGGGGATCGGAGGAGGCCGTCATCGTCGTCGTCGGTGTTGAATTCCAAACATATGGATGTTATGTTTGATTCTTCCACAATTCCAGAATGAACATGAAGTAGGGAAGTGTTCAATTTGATTTGTTCTTATTTCAATTAGTCTATTGTGTGAATTGGAGTCTCAAAATAATTCGAGCTTGTTTGTTTGTGTTTTGGTTAATCCCCAAAAATTCAATTTTGCCTTTATGTTTAAATGTGCTCATTTAAATAAATAAAAAAAAGTCTAATAATACTAACTAATCCAACTAGTAGGGAACTTTACCTATCCAAAGAGTTGAAAAAAAAAAAAAAAAGAATACAAGATGAAAGGGTATTTGAGTATCACCATTGCGTCAGTAACATCGTTCAATCACTGTTGAGTATAAAAAAAAGTGTAATGCTCGAGACCATATCAAAGCTGGTCCGTCTTCAATTTGATGTCCGTAAAAGATTTTCACACTACTCACCACTAAGAGAATATGTCACAGATTAATTCATCGCAACCCATAATTTAATCCCTGATTATTCCAAAAAGATTTGCACACTGCTCACCAAGCAAACACACTCAAACGCTTCTCACATATCTCTCCATGCAAACACATCCAAATACACAGACACTTCGAATCGTTTTAAATTTCTTCAAATCGAACTCCCCACTCTTGAATCTCGCTGACTATCTGCTATGTTGTCGCCCCTTCGAGGTAGCACAAAAACAACTTGATGCTAGAAATCATCTCTTGAAATATGAATAATTTAGAAATCCATTTCCTCCTACTGCGTTTGATAAATGCATTTCCAATCAAATTTTATGGTCTTCGGGGCGTAAAAAATTTAGGGTTGATAATATTTCCGTGGATTCCTCTTCCCCCAAATTTTTCGTGTATTTCCAGTTACTAGAATTCATAAACTTCCTAGAGAGAATTCAAGTGAATTTCGATTTATGTGGTTTCTTTGATTTGATATAAGATGTGGTTTGATTGTTTGTGAGCCCTTCCAGCCTTGCGATCTTAAAACTTTTTCTGAAATTGTGTCATCTTCTTTTTACTCCATTAACTCTCAGACTAAGTTATCTACTATCTTGGTTGCTACTCGTGATCGCTTTTGGTTTATTGAGTAGAATATAATTTGCAATATGTTGTTATGAAGTGATTTTCATTCATAGATGATGAAGATTTTTTTCACTTAATTGACTAAACTTTTATATTAGTAATTTTCTCTTGTATTTATGTGGCTCGTTTGATACAAATTAACTTTGTTAGAACCGATTTGGATAGCCAAAGTTGGATTGAGCATATAGTCCTGAACAAAATTTGTATATTTTGGATGCAAATTTTTAATGTGGTTCGATGTGAATATGATTCAGAACTTTTTGTTGGAGCTTTCCTTTTGAGCTGTTGTTAAATTACATTCTTGAAGAGTATGTGAATTTGCTTAATCTATTTATTCTTTGAAATAAATTTGTTTCAATCACTACAAGAAAAATTATTTTTATAACAAAATTTTTGTCTCTAAATCTACTTTTTCCGTTACTAATGACATTAGAGACGGAATTAGGAATGGAATTACGTTAGCTACGTGAACTTTTGGGACGGAATTCCGTTACAAATATATTATTTTTTTGTAGTGAATCATGTTGTGTTTATTCAAGATTAGGTGTTTTGATAATTTTTTTTCATTTCATTTTACTGATTTCAGGATTTAAGATGATTGTAGTACTTATGCAAATGATATATCTAAAGATACATATTTATTGTAGTGAAATGTAAAGTTGCAGTCAGAGTCATGTTGCAAAAGATTGTGACGAAAATGACTATCACTAATTCCGTTGCAATTTTCGGCAACAAAAAGATTTAGTTGTCACTTCAAATTTCTACAATAATATTCACAACAAATCCCACTTTGACGCAAATTCTGTTGTAGTTGAAAGTTGTGATATAAATTGTCAGTTGTGATGGAATTTTTTCGTAGTAATTTGTAATTTTTTGTAGTAAGATAAAGATATTATACTAGAAATTACAAAAGAAATAAGAACAATATTTTTGATAAAATATCTTTCTAAATATAATTTAGCTTTTCGATGATATAGTGAAAAAATTTATGAAGTTAGTAATGAAAAGTTTATAAGAATAATTGAAATGATTACTGAATTTGATGTAATAATGCAAAATCATATTAGACGTATTCAAAATAATAAAATTCATTATCATTGTTTTGGTCAAAAAAATCAAAATGAATTAATTTCTTTATTAGTGCGTAGTGTTAAAATTTTCATTATGAAAATTATTAAAGAAATAAAATATTTTTCCATAATTCTTGATTGCACTCCGAATATAGTCATTGTGAACAAATGATGTCAACCGTGCGATATATAAATATGTCAAGTAATACTATTAAAATAAAAGAATACTTTTCACAGTTTTTAAAAATAAATGATATAAGTGGTTTAAGGCTTTTTAATAAATTGGAAAATGCACTCGAACCTTTTGATTTTGATATATATTAATAATATATGATGTCAAAGTTACGTTAATAGTTCTAACATGAAAGATAAACACCAATAAACTCCAAAAATATTGTTTGATATAAATTCTAAAGCATAAAATTTTACTTCCATTTGTATACTTTTTGCCGTCCAGTAAATGAATTGCAATGTAAACTAATTTTTATTACAATCATTAATTGTAGTTTGTTTGCCACCCCATGAATCTTGCCATGTTATGTTCAACACAATACTTCAGTTTGCATTCGTAGATGTTGATAGTTTTCGGTTTGTCAATTGCTTCGGTTTGTTGATATCAAAATCATGTTTAATAGTTGTTTAGATTGTTAGAATAGTTTGTATTGTTGAATTTGTCGTTGTGGATGGTTGAGTGTCTTTCTTTCCGTATTGTTGGTAGCTTGGGGTTTGAACAGTTATATTTTAGTATGGAAATGTCTTTTAGATTTTCAATGTGTTGTAAAACGTAGGTTGTATCTGAACGGACTATATTTCGATATTTTTGCAATGCATAAATCAAATTTGTATTATTAGTGAGAATATTGGCTACTAATTTCTTCTGCTTATTTTTATTCCATATGAAATACCGTAAGAAATACCAAATTTTGTTTTTCGTAATCTAAAAAAAATATACTATAATGACACTTTAACAATTTATGTTGTTACGGTTGATCTCGTAAGCAAAAGTTTTATAACAAATTAATAATGTAATGCATGTCATAACGAAAAAAATATCCTACGTGCTGTCATAGGACGTTTAGGGTTTAGGGCAAAAGTTTTTGCTAGATTTATTTGTTACAGAAAAAATGATATGGCAAAAAGTATTTATTACGCGAGTACATGTTACGTTCAAATATCATAATAAAAGTGTAGCAAAAATATATTTGGCACAAAATTTGGGTTTTTGTTACAAATTTTATCTTTAACAAAAAAAAATTTTATGATAATTTTTAAAAATTTAGGACATTATTCTTTACTTAATGAACAACTAAAAACACATTAACAACATTTGCATTCCACGTAGAAGTTTGTTTATTTTTTTTTTTATATTTTCTTAATATGCGCAGTTTTAAGAGATAAAAATGATAAATACTATTATGTCCATTAAATATAAATAAATGTCCTATATATATTTCTTGATTAATCAATTTATATTCCGTAGATTGTGGAAATTTAAAAAGAAAAAATGTACCCCTATACTTTAAAGACTTATGTGTTAAAAAGAATTTTTTTTTATTCTCATATAAAATGATTAAATATTTTATTAATATTATAAAATTAGTAATTTTCAAATAGGTACGTTTTTTTTTTTTTCTCTTTATCAGTTTGAAAAAAAAATTGGTTTAGATTTGGTAGTAAAATAATATATGATATGATATTTTGTGAAAGAAAAAATATATATTTTTTTAAAATCGCAAATTTAAAAAAGTAGAAATTTTGGGGTTTAAAAGAACCTAAACATTTTAATTCTATTAATTATATGTATGTATATGTATATGTAACATGAATATATATATTTAAATTGGGAGTGTTTTTTAGTATTTATTATTTTAAGTATTTTGTCGTAAGATAAGAATAATTATAAAAGTATTATAAAAAAAAGTTATATTGAGTCTTTTTGTTTTATTATTATTATTATTATTATTATTATTATTATTATTATTATTGTTATTATTATTATTATTATATGAAACATTTTAATAATATTTTTTTGAAAATAATTGAAAAACTTTGTGTGTTATTTTGATTTTAATTTATAAATTTAATTGTTTTAGGTGTAATATTAAAAATATTGAAAAACTGTGTGTGTTATTTTGAGTTTATTTTTTAAATTTAATTGTTTTAGGTGTAATATTAATTGAATTTAATATTTTATATAGAAATCGGATATCATTATAAGTGATGTTTTAAAGAAAAAAAAAAAAAAACTCAGAGAGAGGAGTCCTTAATTAAATAAAAAAAATTAAATTAAAAGAGGCCAAGCCCATGATTATTACAAGTAAGTTCTATCCAAAATCATGAAAACATAACAAATAATATCCATTCTGCAGACAAATTCACCACTTGAGCTTCGCTGGAAAGTACTGAAAAAATCAATTGCAAAAAAAAATAAATAAATAAATAATAATAATAATAATAATAATAATAATAATAATAATTTCGTGTTAGAAGAATAATTAATTTCAAAATAATCTAATTAATATTAATTAATTAATTTGTACCTTTTCAATGAGGGAAAGATAATATGGTTTGACTTTGTCAACGTCGATCCGAACTTTGCTCTTACTGTACAGATCATATTTGCTGCATTCAAATTAAAATATTAATTATTTCTCTCACTTATTTAAAAAATAATAATAAATTAGATAAAAAAATAAAAATAAAAATTATTAATTATTATTAATTAATTACTTGAATATCTTTAGCCACTTCAAGTTCTCTCTGTCCTCGTCGTTCATCAAATGCGCGTAAGCACCAGACTTGTGTAAAGCTGCAAAATAAAATATAAATTTATATTTAATTAATTAATATAAACAAATCATTTAATTTTTTTTTCTTTTTTAATTCAATCAAAATACCTTAATTAAAATCAATTATTATTATTATTAAATAAAATACGTACGGTAGAAAGAATGGTAACGGATTATGAAGAGCCCTGCCGAAGGTAGAGTTGTTCCATTTTCCTTGGCCACCTGATGATTGTATTTATTTATTTATTAAATTAATTTAATTTACGAAATTGGAATATTAAAAAATATTAATTATTAATTAAAATAGGTACGAACCAAGTACATATAATCATCGTGTCCCCACGACATGACCACGTTATCCAGACCACACCCCTCTTCGTAGATTCCATTCCTAGAATTGTAACGAGGATTCTCAGCATCTGGATTTCCCGCGAAATACTGCACATTCCCAATTAAGTAAGCATATTATTATTAGTAACAAAAATAGAAAGAAATTAATATTAGAATATATAGCATTTATTATTTGTGGCGGCCGCTAAAATACAGCAATGTGCTGTATACTACTACCTCGTCACTTCTCGTCACTTGACAAAGTATCCATTTTTTCATTTTAGTCCGTCTCATAACAAAATATCTATTTTTTTTAGTAATTGTACTATTTACCTAACGTTACAAATATTTTTACAATTTACAATATATTACACAAATGTCATTACTTTTATATCACGCATATTAAAACTACGTGCAAAAAGCAAATGGATACTTACTTGTGGGACGGATGAAATATTTAATATATTACAAAGAATATTATTATATATTAATATAATACAAATACAACAGATCATGAACTAACCGCACATATTATAGTGTCGTACAACACACTTATTATTATAAAAAAATATGTTGTATATAATAATACAACGTATTGATGTTTGTAAATATAACATGTGCTGAGTTGAAAAATCAGCATTTCAAACAAGGACCTAGTCATATCTCATTACTTGTACATTTATTAAAAAATAATCCAAAACGTAAAGTAAATAGAAACTTGTAATTTAAGTATCACCTTGCAATGAACAATGGATTCGTCGAAAGCACACCCAAGAGGGAATGTATCACCTATTTATTATTTTAAAAATAATTAAAAAAAAATTAATATTTAATTAGATATTAAAAAAATAAAAAAATAAATAAAAATTGTTAATGAACTAACCGACGACAGCCCACTGAGGCAGCTCTCCGAAGGAAGGAAGAAGGAGAACTTTCCCAAGGTCTGCACAATTCAAAATTCATTTCATTACAACTGCTGCAGATCTCGATCCGCCATTAAAGGAAGCTTGCTTTTATTACCATGGATAAGAGCTGTAAGATGCAGCCAATCCTGGTCGGGATAATCCTTCCTTATGGCTTCAGCAGATTGGAGCAAATGTTCGATCTGAGGTTCGTCCAGGTCTGGATCGCTGTCGTCGACAACCTCGTTCAGAAGCTCGCAGCATTCCCAAATGCTCATCTCTGTCCTCTCCAGCTTTCCATATCTTTCCCTCATTCTCTGCACCTGCACAATTATCCGCCATTGTTGTCCATTTTCGGACACTGTAATAAATTAAAATCCCCAATTTACACTTACGAATTCGAAGGTTTGGTTGATGTGGTTCAGCCTGTAGAACTCCTCTACCCCCTTCTGCCTCTCGCTTTCGCCATTGTTGTAGTCCCTGAGACCAAATCAAGCAACAATTAATTAACGAACATTCCTCGATTTTATTACAGTGATTCAATCTTAACAAACCCTAAAAAAAAAAAAAAAAACCTGAATGTGTGTCCGAATGCGTTCGTTTCTGGAGCTTCGAATCCTCCATCCAATACAAGTTCATTCTCCTCCACTTCCTTATCCTTTCTCTCCACTAAAAAATAAATTATTACATAAAATTGATGAACATTCGATTCATTAACTGATGAAAAAAAATCGAAAAAGACAAGAGGGATCGAGACATACCGAGATGCGGCTTCTCGACGAGGATAGTCATTTTTGTAGCCTACAAAATTAGCGGATAATTTCTGGCCGTCGGATTGAAGATCGTGCGGCGTAGATGAGATATAATTCGTCGAATCCAATGGCGTGATTTTCTGCCATGAAAATCCATGGAGATTTATAGCAGGAAAAATAAGTCCTAATATGAAAATTCGAGCTTCTGCGAGTCCTCAAATGAAGTCCTTCCCTGAAATTTTGGAAATTTATTGTCTTGATCTTTACATTGATAATCATCCGTACTTTCTCACTCTCCTTCACAGGGCGTGACCGCCAGTGAAATATGGAGATATTTTTTCAAATAGGAAGGTGAAGTGCACGCGCGGGGGGCGTGACTGGTGAGAAGTTAAAAGAGTGTGTTGGGGATGAGTCAGATTAGCGTGTATATCTATTTATTTATTTATTTACTTACTTAAATTGTGGGGCCTACTGATCTGTATCCACGTCACATCCTACGCAATTTTGACTTGTTTATTCCAAGCCACTTATTGGAGGAATGAAATCTTGACCGTCGGTTCTCTGCCACGTCATCCGAAAACTGATCGCTACCGTCCATGGATAGTCGTCTGCCAACTGTGTTGCATTCGGTAACTTACGCTGTGTTTAACACGTTTTTGCAAGTGTATGGAAGGTTTGCATATCTGTGAACAGCAAAGTTACGGTTTTCGAAATAAATAATCGGATTTATATAATTTACCCCTATTTTTTTATTTTTATCAGTTTCATATAATTTATTTATTTTTTTCGATAAGTATATATTAAAATTCAAAATTTAAAATTTTTAATCTTAATTAAATTATTTACTTATATTAATCTATAATTATTTTTAATAAATAATACTTTCTTTGTTCCACTTACTATGTTGAAATTGTCGTTTTTGTCCGTCCCACATCTCATGTCACTTTTATTTTTTTAAAAATAATTATACACTTTAATCTCATTTTAAACTTTTTAATTTAATTTTTTTTAATTTTAATTAAATTAATTAGTTATCTTAACTTTAATTTATAATTATTTATATTATAGGATAATTATTTTTACTAATACATTCTTAATTATCTACTAATTATACTTATCCTAAATTTTCGTGTCTACAGGGACCCAGACATCCAACTTGGAACACGAAGAGAGTAATTATTTTTACTAATACACTTCTTAAGTACTTACTAATATTTTATGGAACTGAAGAAGTACTACATTTGATCTGTTTCACTTGTAATGTTCAATTTTTATTTTTTCTAATTTACATAATTTGTTAATATATATTTTAATTACATTTTTTTATATTTTATAATTTTTAATTTTTTAATCAATTAAATTATTTAATTATTTTAATATTAACATATAATATTTTTTATTAATATATTTTTAAATATTTATAATTATACTTACTTAAATTCTCGTATCTACAGTAATATAAACAATTTAGTCGAATGAATAAAGTAAATATTAATGATTTATTTTTATATATAATGATTCTTTATAAATATTATTCAAAAAATATACTCCTTCCGTCCAAAACACTCTGCAATATTTTTTTTTTGGTATGTCCCAAACACCCTGCAACATTTTCAAGATATGAAATAATTAATTATACTTAATCTCTACTCCACACTTTATCCTCTAACATCATCCAAATAAAAAAATAAAATATATATTTCTCTCTCTATCACATCACCTAATTTTTAAATTATCATACTTAATATTACTCACCTAAAAATCCGTGCCAAAAGTAAATGTTGCACCTTGTTTGTGACGGAGGGAGTAATATATATGCATATTAACATAATATATATGAGCAGCGGCGGAACTAGAATTCAAATAAAGACAGCCTAATTTTTTTTATTTTTCAAAATTCTATATACCCGAAAAATTGGTATGATAAATATATATACCGATACTATATCAAAAATTTGGTACAGTATAAATACATATCATATCATACATAAATATTAAAATTTAAAATAATAATTTTATTATCAATTATTAAATTATTTGTATATACTTAAATATCAAAATTATTTTAATACATACTGAAATTTTGAAATTATACAGAATTCTCATACTAAAAAAAACTAATATAATATTGAATCATACAAAAAATTATGATATACTAAAAATTTAAATAAAAAATAATAATAAAAAATTAGATACCAAAAATTTAATATATTTTTTACTATGTACTCTCTCCGTCTCCAATTTATCTGTTCATTTGCTTTTTGCACGGAGTTTTAGAAATATTAATATTATATTTGGATAAAATTAAAATAAATGTAAAAAGATTAAATTAACCCTATTAGTATTATATGATATAAAGGTAATGACATTTGTGTAATATATTGTAAATTAGAAGGGTATTTGTAATATTATGTAGATAATATAATTACTAAAAACAGAAATAGATACTTTATTATGGGACAGACCAAAATAAAAAAATGAATAAATTATTAAGGAACGAAAAAAAAATATAATTTAAAAATTATATAAATCATAATAGAAAATTAAAGGATGGGGTGGGGGGAGCGGGCAGCCCCCCTTGCCCGGTGTAGTTATGCCCTATATATGAGCATAAATCTCATGCTTATTCAGTCATATCAGATACTGATTTAACGAGATTAACATATATTATATACATGTAAACAATATATAATATGTTTGTTTAGAAGTTTGGATTTTGATTTTAAATTTGAATATTAAAAGAACATAAATTTGAATAGTTGTATAATGTGTTATAAATACGTTTTGATGTGCTATTTTAATAAAAAAAATTATAATAAATAAAATAAAAAATAAATGTTTTAATTTGATTTTTTTTAAAAAAAAATTGATAAAAATAATAAATTTTTTATAAATTTCAATAAGAAAACACTCATATCACAGTATATTTATAATATGCACATATGCTATAAAATAAACTATCATACTTCTTCCGTCCAAATAGAAAATATTTTGAGACGTCCAATTACAAAGTAAACATTTCATTAAATATGTCACTTTTTTCTAAAAATACCCCTACTTTACATCACATAATTACTTTTACACAAAAAAGCAAAGAGAAAAATATCTTTACACCACTTTTAACTATCCACTATTGTTATTACTAATCCAAGATCCAATAGGCTATATTCTCTCAAAATCAAATCAACATTGAAGAAAACTTAAGGAAAACTTTGATTTATTACGGAAGCAACAGTTCGAACTCAGTTTACCCTAATATCAAACCAACCGACATCAATCACACATCCAAGACCCAACCACAAACGACACGCCACGGAAACGCAACAAACACGCTAAACGGAAACCCAATCTAAGGAAACATTGCCGAAATTAAGCCTAAACCCACATCGCAGACAAGTTACACCGCGAACAACAATAAGGCATAAATCGAGCAAACCAAACCGTAGAAACTTCAAGGGGGAAGGCGCGCATCAAAGGAGAAGAAGAAACTCCCAAATTGCCGGACAGATTCACCGGAGAAGGCAGGCAGAGGTCGATCGGAACGCGTCGGAACTAGGGCTTGAGAGAATCGCGAATCGAAGAGAAGAGGATCTGTTATGTATCGTATGTTCTGGAATGAAGTGTGAACCGGTTCAATGGATCAGCCTATATATATAAGACAGAACAGACCAGCGGTCCAGACCGGTTCAAACCGGTCCAGCCCGGATCAAAGCCAGGCAGCTTGCGAACCGACGAGTCTCACAAAAGATTGGGTCGGGTAGTGGGTTGCCGGGTCCGGGCTTCAATTTGGGCGGGTTGGTTGTGTGCATTCTAGGCCTCAATTATCACGGGCCAAAATATATAACAAATCTCCACCTTATTTTGGGCGTGGAAGATTGTTTTCTCGGGTGTCATCACGGTCCGAACTTTCATTGCTTCCTTATATTTTAGTTCATTTTAAAAACAGTTCATTTTAGCCTATTGTTGAATTACTCTCGTGCACAAAGAAAATTGAAATCAAGTTAGGTTTAAGACAATATGAAAACCTAATATGATACATAATAAAACCTACAGCTACACGCAAGTAGCATCGGCTAATCAAATGTATCAAAGCATACAATTTTCACACAAGATACAAACATATCAACTTTCCAAAGCATTGTATCTTCACCAATAGGATTATACTCAAATTCAACAATTAACAAAGCTACTAAACATTGTAATTGTGTCTTACAACAAGAACATGCATCACACAATATACAAACACGAAAAACAGCAAGCTTTCTAGAGCACATATCATTTACAATCAATGATAACAAATCACCACCAAAGCAATCATAATGTTTAGGAACTACATTCAAATTTTCATTCTTAAGTAATGAGTTCATATCTTCTTTTAAAGCTTCAAAACATTGACACTTATACCAAGAATTATTTGTCTCCCTAACAATCATAGGTTCATTCACATGTAAGTCATCAAACATACAAGAAGCTAAAGAAGATAACTTCAAATTAACAAACATAGAGAACAATATAGGACTCTTCCTAACTCCATCTCTAACAAATAGGTAATTTTCAATCTCATCTTTCTCATTTAAATCAGTTCCAACATTGCTTTCAATTTCAGAAACTGAATTTTCAAAATTTTCCTTAATATGCTGCCCAGCAGCAACACCAATTTGAAAATCATCAACAAAGATTTCAGTTTCACTGTTTTTATCTAACTCCACCATATTTTGACCACAATTGTCAAAATCAGCAATAACAACATTTTCGGTTAAAGAATCAAAGTGTTGCTCAGCAGCAGTTTTCACACACAAAACAGAATCAGAAATCATATCAGCATTAACTAAACTGTCATAATGCACAGAATCTGATTCACAACAAGTATTATCTACATGTATTTCACAAAACTGCACATATTTGTAATCAACAACAACTTTTTGACTTTCAAAAGACTTGCAAAGAAAATCAGTGTTATTCTTTTCAACCTCATAATCAAATTCAACACCAATTTGCACAGTATCAACAGATTTAGCACGAATTTCAGATTCAAGATCAATATTAAGAGGTTTATCATCACAAGAACATACTTCTTCACTTACAACATGCATTTCAGCAACAAATTGCACATTCAGCGCACATTCAGAATCAGTATCAGCATTATTTAAATCATCAAAATGCACATTTTCTGATTCACAATCAGTATCAACTGTATTTACATCA